GGAGCTGCCTTCCCAGTGAGTCACAGCCTTCCTGGGCGGCAGCTTCCTCCCCTGTAGAGTGGTTAGAACAACACCCACCTCGTGGTGTGAAAAATTATGTATGTGATAGGACAAACATGACGTTTTTTTTAGAGACAGGGTCTCACTCTGCTGCCCAGGCTGGTGGCCCAGGCAGTGGCACAATCATAGCTCACTGCAGCCTCGAACTTCTGGGTTCGAGCGATCCTCTCACCTCAGCCTCCTAAGTAGTTGGGACTACAGGCGTGTGCCACCGTGCCTGGCTAATTTTTCTTATTTTTTTAGAGACAGGGTCTTGCTATGTTGCTCAGGCTGGTCTCAAAATCCTCAGCTCAAGCGATCTTCCTGCCTCAGCCTCCCAGAGTGCTAGGATTACAGACGTGAGCCACTGTGCCTGGTGGACAAACATTATTAAAGGATTAATGCTGTCTGCTTGCTCCATTTTTGTCCTTTCCTAAAACTTTTGGACCTTGGGATTCAAATCAGAATCTTCAAACTTTTGGACTTTGGGGCCCGGATGAGAAGGAAGGGGATGAGAAGCACCGGACCCAGGCTGAAGCTGTAGGAGAGGTGTCCTGGCGTGAGCCCGGCAGGGCCTGGCGCGGAGCTGAGGGCAGCTGGGGGTTGGAAGGGAGGGTTTTTTTTTTTTTTTTTTGAGACAGAGTCTCACTTTGTTGCCCGGGCTAGAGAGAGTGCCGTGGCGTTAGCCTAGCTCACAGCAACCTCAGACTCCTGGGCTCAAGCGATCCTCCTGCCTCAGCCTCCCAAGTAGCTGGGACTACAGGCATGTGCCACCATGCCCGGCTAATTTTTTTCTATATATTTTTAGCTGTCCAATTAATTTCTTTCTATTTTTGGTAGAGACGGGGGTCTCGCTCTTGCCCAGGCTGGTCTCGAACTCCTGAGCTCAAACAATCCACCCGCCTCGGCCTCCCAGAGTGCTAGGATTACAGGCGTGAGCTACCGCGCCCGGCCATGGAAGGGAGGGTTTTCAGGACTCTCGTAGAGTCCAAGGACCACAGTAAGATGCCTGAGATGCTCCAAAGTTACTCTTTGGCTCTTAAACTGTGTTTTCTGAACTTCGTGTGACCCAGTGACAGACCAAGCTGTATCATGTCTCTGGATTTATTTCTAATTGTCACGCATAGAAAACACCGGGAATGGCGTTCAGGGAATGGAAGCTACCACAGTGGTGACTGCGGCAGCTTCTGTGGAGGGGCTGCCCCAACGCTGAGGGGAGCGTCCCGCGCTCTGCTGCCCCCGCCGAGGCTGGCCTGCGCCCCGGGAGCCCCCCCAACATCCCTGCAGCTGCTTTAGGGTCCCCCAACTCTCTCACACTCCTCACTGCTCCCCCAAATTCTTTCTTGTCTCCAGGTATGTTGTTTGGGGGAAGCAAAGAGAGAGGAGAGAGGGAGAGAGACCAGTCTTTCTCTCAGCTGCACATCAACGCATTCGAGAAAACATTTACTGAACGCCAGGCCTGGTGCCACAGTAGTGAACAGAAGACTGAAGTTCCAGTTCTCAGGGACTTAAATTCTGGAGGAAGAGACGGATGACGAACGGGATGAGCCTTGCGGCTAGCAGAGTGGTAAACGCTATGCAGAGAGAACTCAGAAGGGAAGGGGAGAGGAAGTGCCAGTGGGGCAGACAGGGGACCCTGGGGACCGGGGAAGGACCCGGGGGCTTCCGAAGGGAGTGTGCGTGGAGTTAGGCTAGAGGGCGGACACGACAGCAAGGTGGAGTGAGGGGCGAGCAGGGTGAGGTTGGCAGAGAAAGTCAGAGAGCTGGGGGTGACCAGGGAGGAGCCCCGGGCCTTTGGCATCTATTCTGAATAGGAAGAGACGCAGAGGGAGGGCTTGGCGCTGAGACACGCCGCAACGCGCTCTCGAGGCGCCCCCTGTGGCTGCCGCATGGAGAGCAGACGGCACAGGGTCAAGGACAGGAGAGGAAGACCCCTGAGTTGTGGAGGGATCCTGGCAGGGGTGCAGGGAGTGGTGCGAGAGGCACCCCCGCGAGCGCGCGGCGAGGAGGCAGGGCAAGCGGGCCTTCCTGGCGCAGAGGGGACAAACGGCGCCACGGACACACGAGGGGTACGGCAGCTTCCGGTCTGAGAAACCGGAAGGATGGGCTTGTCATGTGGTGTTCGGACCTATGATAAGTAAAAGTCGGATCTGTTGGTAAAGGAGAGAGGAAGCTGGTCTGCAGAGAGACAGAAACGTGAGCCTCCCTGAGCCGGTCTAAATCCCTGCTTCCAGTTCATTCCTGAATGCCAGTGGCCTTCCTGTCCTTGGACTCTGCGAGATGCTCAACTGTCCTCTCAGCAATCTCGTGTTCAAAGACAAGGTCGCACTGTGTCGCGCAGGCTGGAGGCGGCGGCTGGGTCCTAGCTCACCGGAACCTGGAGCTCCCGGCCTCCCGAGCAGCTGGGACTACAGGCGCACACCGCCGGGCGCCCTGCCAGCAAACTGACCTTCTTGCTTAACTTGCTGGAACTGGTTTCTGATACTTCCAATCAAAATAGTATCATCTCCAAAATTAGCAATGGGAGTGAGAATTTTCAAATTGAAGACCCCGAACTACGGAACCGCTGAGAGAGGAAGCAGGACACGGGCTGTGAGCATGCCCCGTCCCAGGCTGGGGAGATGGCAGTTTCCGTGCAGTGTCACCTGTCATCTCTTGAAGCTCAAACCATGTACCTACAAAACCTGGAGCTTTAGGGGACTCGATGGCAAAATGTCATGAGATTAGAGTGCGTTGGCTTCTCTTTGAGATATTCGGTAGGTCGCTATGAGAGGCAGACGTGCTGTAACTCCAGGTAGCCGCCCTAAAGACTGATCAGACACAACCCTTTCTACCTGAAGCCAGAGAGTCAAATGATTGGGAACACCGCAGCTGCCTTTGCAACCATATTTCCTGCTGTTCCTAGATTTAAATTATTACTCCTGAAATTGTGGTTCCCTGGCTACTGGAATAGGGGTATTTGAGAGAAGCCAGAGAACTTACGGACACCCCAGTCCCAGGGCCACTGCCTGGCACCTCCACTAGAGAGATGGGAGGGTCTCCAGCCATGAGGGCATTGCCCGGCACGGCGTGCGTGCGTCTCAAAGCACGTCCCAGAGTGCGTCCCAGCCTCACTGCCCCAGACTGAACCAAGTCACCATAATTCCAGGCCTGGAAGTTCCCTGTAGCAGCCTTGGGTGATCGAAGTTCATGACTTGACAAGACTCTGGCACTGGTACGTGTATCAGTAAACAGAGTCGACCAAGAGGAAACTGACAGCTGGCCAAGGTTTCAAAGGAGTCATATCAAACCCCAAACCTGGCAAAGGGCCCAAAGTTGCTCATTCGCCTGAGTGTTAGTCACTCTACAAACACTTGTCGAATGCCTACTGTCTGCCAGTCACACTTCCAGGCAGCAGGGATGCAGCCAGGGGCAAAACAAGGCCCTGCCTTCACAGAATTTAAATCCCGCAGGTTCCAGCACGGAGAGCACAGACTGCCGAAGTGACGCAGCCCACCTGACCACAGGGACCTGCTCCTCCGTGTTCTCCCGGCGCAGGCCTTGACGGACCCCGGGCAACGGGAATTCCTCCAGCCAACGGCCCAGGCAGCCATTCGCCTGCCGAGGAATCCGGGGAGCGCAATCTACCACTTGTGGTGCACTCTGTGCTTTAGGCCACTGGTGGCTTGTCTTCTACCTTCTTTCCTAGATGGGATTTAGGAAAAACAGAGAGTGCTGGGAGTGCGCTGGGCGCCTAAGACCAATCGTGTGAGCCCGGGGTGCAGAATCGAGGTGCCACTTCTGGAATTCTTTAGAACCAAAGTGGAAAAAGACTGGGGCAAAAAGTCACCTGGAAAACAGAGGGTCCATGTCACTTCCTTCGGACGCAGTATCCAGCCGTGACATGGAGTTATCCACACCGGGAAGACGAGTGCGTTTACAATTTTACATGTGATAATCGAACCCTGTTAGGAGGAGGAAATGTGGATGCGGGGAAATGGCACATGTTTCCACGT